CCCCGTAGCTTCACCAGAAGAAAGTTGACTACTAAATAAGGATTCATTACTACTAGTATTAACATTAAGTTGTTGTTTTTCAGAACCTGAACACAAATCATTCTTATCGGAAGAAGAAGAAGTTAAGTCAGTAACGTCATCGGGATGAAACGCACAGGCGACAAGCAACGGACAATGGCGGCAAAATCGAGAAGTTGAAGCAGGATAACGATGAAGATGATTAGTGAAATATAGTTTAGAAAGTAGATACAAATGATGATCAAAAGGAGGAGGAGGTAAGGGACTAAGATGGTGGAGGCGTTTATAGGAAGATGACGAAGAAGATACGTTACGGCTAGAGGGGATAGGGAGAGAAGGGGGTTTGTAGAGAATAGAAGCCTGAAGCGTAGTGGTCATGCCTAGGCCTTCACTTGTTCGTAGGTTTTTAAATTAGTTGAATGCCGGAATAATTAATGTGATTGCCGACGGTAATTAGGGTTTTAGGAAGAAGAAGAAGAAGAACTAATAGGGTGGGGTCACTTAAATTGAATTCCAAAAGCAATAAATAGAATTTTGGTTTCACCAGTGGAAGGATATAGGAAGCGAGTGGAGGAGGAGGAGGAGAGGGTTTTGCAGTGCGAGCCAGACGACCCACACGATATATTTTCTTTGTTCAACGCTTAACAGGCAAAATGGAGTGGGGACTGGAGGCTGGGGAGCGGATCCGGTAAGGAAAATCTTCTACTACTAGCTTGAGAATTGAGATGGACAGACAGAGAAGAAACCTTATCCCCTACTCTTTTAACTCGACTGACAGAAATTGGCGGTCTGCCTTCATGCTCCTTTCTCTTTACTGCTTCATTTCCTTTCTGGTTTCCTTTGTCGTTTCTTTAACTTAAGCTAATCCTACCATTAATTTCCAAGCGCACATCACTGCTACCTCCAAAATCCCTTTTTCCAAAAAAAAAAAAAAAACCCCCCCTCCTCTCAAATCTTAATAGGATTGCAAACGAATCGAATCGAGTCGAGTTTTAAACTAATCGAGCAAGTCTCGACTAAATTTTACCAAGTTCGAACTCGACGAGCTGGCAATTTATAACTCGAGTTCGAGATTGAAAAAATAAAAATAATTATTTTATTTTTAAAAAAAAAAATAATATAATATTTTTTCTTAATAAATAATAAAATATTAAGAATATATATAAATAATTTTACTATTAAAATAAAAAATAAAAAATATATATACACTTAAAATAAAAAAATATATAAAATATTATATATATATACTCGAGTTTAATATTTTAAACTCGAGTACGAACTTGATTTCGACTCGAGCCAACTTGAGCTCGATATTAATCGAGCTCGACTCGAACTGCTGGATTCGTTTGCAGCGCTGCACCGTAGTGAATACAGGAACCTCGCCACATGATAGTCCCAGCCAACTCAATCAATCAGGTGATGGGTACGTCCCATTTGTTCTATTCTACTCTTCTTTTGTTTTTTTATTAAGCTTATTGTGTTCTATTTAACTTGTCCTATCGCCTACCTAGTGATTAAAGGAGAGTTCTTAGGGTTTTCTTTTATGAAGTTCAAGTTCAAATCCCGTGCTTAGCAAGAGAATTAAAAACAAAGTTGAAAAAGGAAAGTTGCCCTTGATTTTTTTTTTTTGGTGTCAATTCTCATCATATCCTTCGATTTTTAGACTGTAACAATTAACCGTTGTAATGTATACAACTGTTAGACATTAGTCCCAACAGTAACGAACCAACTTTATCTTATAATCATGGAAGTAAAAATGTGGATTATTTTCAAATGCATAGTTTATGCGTTCACTCAATACAAAAGTAGTATGCTCGTATGTATTACAATTTGTCAAAATTTAGCCAAAAGTTGTCTCTTGTAATCTTGTTTTCCATTAGTACAACGAATATGATTCCAGTTTTGTATATCCAATTAGGTTTATACGAGCAGTTAGTGCATGTTTTTTTATCAAATACACAGTTTTAATATGTCAAAAATTCAGTATAGTAGAAACATCAGTTTTTAAAACATGAGATCATAATACTTTACTCACATGCTAAACTCAACCCCTGATACTTTGGTACTTCTCTAAATTTTACCAACGGCATTTTCTTGAGTCTTCTCTTCTGAAGTTAAAACTCAGGGTTCTTATAGCCCCGATTCATTCACCTCTGATAAAGTCACCTCAAGGCATAAGTGATTTAACTGCTGTCTACTCGTTAACACGACTATCACAATGAAAGAATGTTACGTAATTTCTTTAAATGTCAAAGTCAATCTTACATCTCCGCTTACACAGAAAGAGGTATTGCATAATTTTTGTAAATCTCAGGAGTTGTTTGGTAAATGAATTTCAGGTCCATTAATGGGGTATCAAAGGCAATGATAGATGGAATTTTTTGGCTTGTTTGGAAGTGAGTTTTTTGGCCAAATTTTTTAGCTACAAGTTTTTTAACAACTTTAGCTACAGGAACCCAAAAAAACTTATCAAATTTTTTAATCTACACACTTTAAAATATCAAATACACAAAAAACTTCTATCTTTCTTCTTCTTTCTCCCTCCACCCCATCCACCATACCTTCTTATTCCGGCACCGGCGTTCCCAAATTTTTTTTTCCCTTCCTTTCTCCCTCCCTGGCCAAACTCCCCCAACCGATGCAGTAGCAGCAGTTACTTTCCTCCTACTCTGGTACTTAAAAACCTTTCATCTATCGAGAAAACCTACCCAGATTCCATCGAGCCTGCCTAGTTGACTTCTAAAGAGGTTGCATTCCTCCTTGTAGGCAGAGGCAGCATGAAAATGAAAGTCAAACACAAGCAAGTCAATCCAGCAGAGGATGAAGATGACCAGTTCGTTTGAAAGAAGAGATCTTGATCAAATGGTCAAGCAGAAAGCACAATTGACTTCAGTCACGCCAACGCTACGGCTGACGGGGGAACAGGGGAACAGAGGGGGTGGGGATGGCGGGGGCAGAGGGGGTGGCGGGAAACGGGAAACGAGAAGGGGAACAGGGGAGGGGGCAACGAGAGAAGGGAGGGCTGGCGGGGGGAAGGGGTGGCGTGCGGGGGAAGGGGCTGGGGGGTAGCGGGGCCAGGCTGGCGAGGGAGGGGGAGGCGCAGGGCAGCGGGGGCCAGGCTTGTAGAGGGGAGGGGGAAGGGGCAGAGGGGCTGGGGGGCAACGGGGCGGGCTTGCAGAGAGGAGGGGGAAGGGGCAGGGGCTGGGAGGGAAGGGGTGGTGGGGGAAGGGTTGGCGGATGGGGAGGCGGGGGGCAGCGGGGGCTGGGCTTGTAGAGGGGAGGGGGAAGGGGCAGAGGCTGGTGGGGGTGGCGGGGGAAATGCAGAGCAGAGGAGAAGGGGAAAGGGAGGAGAGGAGTGGCGGGAGGGGGAAGGAAGAAGAAGAAGAAAAAGAAAGAGAGGAAAGAAAAGAAAAAGGAAAAAAAGAAAAAGAAAGAGAAAGAAAAAAAAAGAAAAGGAAAAGAAATTCACCTCACAAAAACTTTTACAAAATTTGTTATCTTACAAAAACTACTAAAAAAAATTTTTTCACCTTATAAAACTTTTACAAAATTTTTTCAAAAACTTCTACAGTGCACTACAGTAAAATTTTAGACAAACTCCCAAAAAACTCAGGTTCCAAACAGCCCTTTGTTTGGTTAATGTTGATTGGAATGAATTAATCGTATTGATTACCCTCCACTGTGGATTTTTTTTATTACCTACTTTTTTGTCTACTTTCAAACTCATTCACCTTACTTTATAAAATATGAAAAACAAAAAAAAAATTCAGAAAAAGCTCCCCTCTTTCTACTCTTTGATCCAATTTATTTTCTCCCATTCCCTCTACCTCGATCTCTCTCACCCCATCGCCACTCTTCCCCAATCTTTATCTCTCTACCCCTCTCCTCTATTTCCTTCCCTTTCCTCCAATCTCTCTCTCTCTCCCTCGCCTCTTCTTGTCATGCAATTTTTATTTGTTTACTCCCTCATTTTTTTTAAAATTTTAGTATTTTCTCCCCTTTCTCTATGCCACTCTTGTTGACCTTCCTATCTTTTTTCTCCCCTTTCTTCCACTTGTGAAATTCCCCCCCCCCCTCTCTCTCTCTCTCTCGCTCAAAACACCTTCGGGTGGATGACAAACAAAATTTTATCAACCAGAGGCAAAATTCGCAAGCTTGATGGACCATTGTTTTGGTTTCAAACTTTTGTGATTGAATCTTATTATTTGGGTTGATTCTGATGCCTAATTGGCTATGGATTTTACTTTGTACGGTGAGGGCCATTTTTGTTCGAAATTTCAAGAGTTTGGTCTTAATTTAGTTGGAGCGTTAGTGATGCCGCTGAAAATCATGATTGTGTTAAAGATTTTTATTTATTTTTTAAGAAATCAAATATGTATATCGAAGTCAGAATCGATGGCGTTGGGAAATATCCAACGATCTATGGCCGCCACTGGTAGTTGCACTTGTGGAGGTTATAGTACTTGTAATGTTTAATGGTCAAAGGGGAGGAGGAAAGAGAATAAAAAGGCGGGGAAAAGAGCAAGAGCAAGAGCAAAAGCAAAACTCCTGAAACTTTCTCCTGAATTTATATAATTACCAAACACTTTAAGAGTTTTTTTGCAAAACCATTGTGATTAACCAATTAATCATACCTATAGTGATTGTGATTGAAGAACTTTAACCAAACACCTCCTTAGAATCAATCTTACATCGCGACCGAACATCCAGCATAGCTACGTACACAAAACGCACCCAAATACTCAATTGGTTCACCAATGAGCTAGAGCGAGTCAGAGCATAAAATTAGAAACAGCAGATATGCCGAGGGACTAAGAAAATTTGAGCTTGCCAGCCAAGGTCTACCGCTTTGTCAAACACTATGAAGCAAAATGCATGCTTACTAATACTTGGAAAGCTGAATCTGGGAATATAAATAGGAGAATTCCCTCCCAGAAGATGGTCCAAGTAACAAATGCGGCCGTGCGGGGACTACAACTAAACGTAGCCAGGAAGAGGCGAAAAGTAATAAATTAACTGCAAACTAGTACGCCTGACGGCGAGAAAGTTATAAAAGTTAATATACATTACACCCAAGTCTACCGAGAGTTTTCAAAACCCATTTAAATCCACAAGAAGTTGAAGAGCAGAATCTTGCCGTTGAAATCCTAGATAATAGGTAAAAAGGAAAAAATATTTTATATTTTAAATTGACATCTCCCCATATCTGCCAGGCTTCACCTTACCTCTTCGAACTCTGCTTATCAGACGAATCCCTTCAGCCTGCTCCAAACAACACACAAAGCTATGATATCAAGAACATTCAATTAATTGCAATGCTACTGTGGATGATAAGGAGGCATTGCTGCAGAATGTGGCAGACCGTTCTGGCCGTGCAATGGCATCATCCCAGGGCCCATTTCAGGAGGCATGCTAGCAGGTGGCATGTAAGGGTGATTATGCATTTGCATGGGCATTGGTGGAGGTACTGCCGGGGCAGAAGTGTTCCAGCCTACTGAATGCTGCGGCATTGCAGTACTTTCAGGAGGTGGAGGATACTGGGCTCCATTATATTGGTGAGCAGCAGGACCACCCATTGCAATTGGCTGCTGCCCCAAAATTGAAGGCTGAGAGCTCATCATGGGGGCATTTGGAATTGTGTAATCTCTACTGCGATCGTTGTTGACCTGAAATCAGCTTATGCAAAATTTAGGTACCAAGGATTGTAACAAATAAATTCAAGTTGTAAAGAGAAGGCTTTCTTTGCCTAAAGATTTTGCACCACAATTCTCCATTATTAATTTAAACAATAATTTATAATGCCAACAATTCACTTTCATGCAGAAATAGTCGTAGATTATCCACGTAAGCCTGAGCTCAAATTTTGCCATGCATCTGTGTGAAGAGCTAGACATGATTATGTAAACCACACCAGAAAGATGTAAGCAAGCTGATTTGTTTGCCTAGTCTTTTATTGAACCGATAAATCATGCAGGAAAACTATCCTTGATCGTGATATTTAGATGCTGCATCTCAGGTGGACTAGCATCAAGGTTGACAGAAATATTCCCCTACTCAAGATACATCTCATGAAACGACACTGTAAACCTCCCGATCTGAGGATTATCTGGCAACAAGATCGAGGAGGAAGAGTGATACATATGAGATGCAGCATCAAACTGCAGTGTATCTGAAGGAAATGTTCTGCTCATTCAAGAAAAGTAACTCTGAGGAAACAGTGAACAGGTAAGCCTTAATTCTTTCAATTTGCTGGAAATGAGTCAGATTTACAGGCAGAAACAAAATTAGATTATTAAGTTGTCATCTCATTTATTATCAAATCCTAGGCCACCTGAATGTAGCAGCAGAACAAAGTCTGACAAAAATTTTAACCAAAAAACATCTAGGACACATGGAAGATCTCGCTGATGTAACTCCATATCCTTCTCCTAACAGCAAAAGAAACATCTGACTCTAATTTCCCTTTTCCTCCTTTCAATTTTCTTCTTTTTTATATATTAAGAAATTTTCTGTCTCTTTCCCTTCTTGTTTCCTTTTTTGTCGGGCAGGAGAAGAGGAATAAGGATGAGGGGGAATTCTTCTTCCACTTTAAATAAAAAAATTCAAAGATAGAGCACATAAAATTCTAGTAAATTGTTGCTGATAAGAAACAAGAATAGCCTAATCAAAACTCCAGGCTACTTCCCCAGTTTAAGAAATATAACACAGCATGTTCACTACATGGAGATGCAAGGCCATATCATTAAAGCTTAATTGCAGTACCATCTCTGACGTTTCTTGCCTTCATGATAAGAACTAGGTGCAAAATGCCAACCATTGTAGGATGTGGAGACCAGAAAAGGAAATATGCATCAAGTGCTAACCTTTCTCTCATAGGAAAAGCATTTCATAAAGGATTTTCATGAAAGATGAAAATACTTTCTTGCTGACTAATGGATTCAAGATACGACAATTGATCTAACTGTTCAGCTACCAAAAAAAATGGAACGAAAGAGAAAAGAGTGATATACCTTTATACTGAGATCAGTGTGGCGAGAATAGGAAATATGAAGCTTGCAAAACCCACCATCATATATGCAGTGTCCCTCTAGGGCTTCCTTTGCAACAACAGCAGTCTGGACATCTGGAAGACTATTGGTTAGTACTTACTGCACAATCTAAAGATATGCTAGCAATCAAAAAAACAGTTTTTGCATTTTATATGTTCCTTTTCTTTCTAAAGTTGATTGGACCAATGATTGATGTTTAAGAAAACATGATATTCAGATAAAAGTACCAAGAGTTTTAGACATCAGAAGAATGAAATAAAACTGACAAACTGAAGTTAGATGATCAGATTACTCTGTTAATATTTTTCCCCTTAAAGCAATCAAGAAACCATAATAACAAGCATCTAAGCCCTTTTCTCAGGAAAGCAACCATGAAAATAGGAACTAAACACATCATCTTACTGAAGATTACTACTATTTCAAACTCATTACGACCTGTGCAGACTTATTTGGTTAGTCTCAATGCTAAAGAGAACCAAAGAAATCTAATCCCAATAACCAAAAGAATAAGTATAGGCTCTATGTTTTATTACCAGGATACTGTATCAATGCCTGAACGCCACCATTCTTATCAAACATCGCAATCTTTAACACAGGGCCAAAAGCAGAAAAAACCTGAAAGCAGATTAAATACAACAATCAACAATTAAGCAAAGTTGAAAGTTATGAATTATTTTAAAGCTTTCTCACAGCCATAGGGCTTACCATATGCAAAACATCCAAGGTCACAGCATATTGCATGTTCTCAATGGAAGCAAGAAGAACATTACTCTCCGGCTCTAATTTCTTCCCATCTAACCCTAAACTGAGCTGAAGTCAGAAAAACATTAATTAGATTATAGTACCAATGGAGTCCAATATTGAAGAGGCCATTTGCTATATATACTTATATCACCAAAAGCAAGCATGTAAGTTTAGAAATTAGAAGAAGACATCCAAAGCTGACAGAATAAGTGCAATTAAACTACTGTATCCAAAAAGGAAAAAAATTAGATTACCAATTTAAGTTGGTTGAAATCTAATTTTGCAAGTATGCAAAAGTAATAAAAATAACATATGATGGTTATTAAGCCTGTTTCATACTACAACGGGTGGACAAAGAGGCAATGAGACGCAAAATAGAGGGCATAGTCCAAAATGCTATCCCCCAGGTGATACTTACTAGCCATAACTAAACAAACTTCAAGTATTGTAAGAAACAGCTCTTCCAATTGCTTACCTGACCACTAGCATCTATTGCAGAAGGTGCCACAGGGAGGTTAGGATTGGTGTAATCCCTGAATAAAAGAAGTTATGGTGCAACACTTCAATCAAGAGACATCCAGCATAAGACAGGCATAAGAGAAAATAAAAAACATGAAACAGGATGAAAAAAGTATGAAATGATTGACAGAAGAAATTACCATTAACAATACCTGCTACGATGGGACTGAAATTTAACACTCAAATCAGTATGTGCAGAATATGTGATTCTAAGGGTACAAGGTCCCAGCTGCGGAATTAAATACCTGATACATGGAAAAAAAAAAGAGTCAATTAATGCACGTGTCAACAGGCTGAGCATTTACTAGCAAAAATAAGGTTAAGAATGTAATCTGAGCACATAATTGGGATGCAGGACGCAGATAAGTTAAACAACAGGAAAATGGCAGTTCATTTCAAGCAATGAACGAAAATCACTTGGATAACCTATCAGGTATATTTTCCACGGAAACATGATGATGGAAGAAATTATTTATAATCAAGATCATTCCACACACAAGGAGCATGCACAAAAGAAGGCAACTGTGAAGACATCATCAACCAGAAAGTGATAAAGGCCTCTCTATCAGTTACCATAGCAGAAATGTGGAGTTACAGGGCAACAGGGGGTATGCTAAACCAATAATAATTATCATTACTCAATAAAGTGATGTGAAATGATAAAAGAGCAAGAGGTAAAATGGGGTAAGGAGCATGCATGTACCCCGTTATGGTAGATTCTTAAAAAAAGCTCCCGAAAGATGTCCAGCCCCTACACATTAATGATCCACAAGACTGGGCTACACCCCAAGCCCAAAATTAAATTCAACATCACCTGGGAATGCTTCTTCCATCAAGGGCATCCTTCGCAGAAGAAGCAGTTTGAGCATCAGAAAATTGGACTAAAGCCTGGAAAAGAAAATAATTCATAAATGTGACAAGTTGGAACCAAAAGTACCTACTATTAAATTCCAAAGTCGTAGCAGTTACGCAAACCTGAAATCCAGCTGTCTTCTCAAACGTTGTAATTTTGTGCACAAATCCAAAGGCAGAGAATACCTGAAAGATAAATTTAACTTTCAGGAGAATAATCCAAGTTGGAAATTTTCGAGAGAATAAAACAACAAGAAGTACACAACACATCCTCTGCAGTTAAACAGGTTTCTATCCATGACCACGCTGAGGATATCGTACCCAAAAAAACCAGAAAACTTGTGGAAGTTCCAATTTCAGTGCCATAATCATAACTGAACATTCAGCTTCCACAACAAGTATTAACTACAACGGAAACAGAAACAAGACAGAAAGCTGGTAACATGCAACTGGAAAAAGATGAAGGGCAAATAGACCAACTTAACTGTACCCAAGCCAAAGGAAATGAAAGAAATTTTAAGTTTCAGGAGGGTTATCCGAGTGGGAAAAATTTTTCCAGAGAATAAAACAAGAAGTACGAAAATATCCTCTGCAGTTAAGACAACTTTTCATCCATGACCACGCTGAGGATATAGTACCCAAACAAACCAGAAACTTGTGGAAGTTCCAATTTTAGTCCCATTACCATAATTGAACATTCAGCTTCCACAACAAGCATTTACTACAATGGAAGCAGAACAATATAGAAGGATGAACACATGAAACCGAGAAAAGGCAAACAACGAATAAACCAACTTAACCATACCCAAGGAAATGAAAGAAATGGTTTTAACAAGAAAAAAGAAGCAATAGTAAGAAATTATTTAGACTACCAGAGAGAAGAAAAAAAATTCTCCTTTACAAATGTTAAAAGTTAAGAGAATAAAGTGTTGAAATATTCTTTTTCTGTATATAGTTTTTCTTGATCGAAAAAAGATTTATTTCAGTGGCATTGGTAATGAAGAAAATAAAAATTTTCACTAAAAGACCAATTTGTGTCTCATGACTTCTCTTCATTAGATCTTTTTCCCTGTTCCTAGTTCTGTCAAATAAAGTTTGAAACTTGAATGATAATTAATCCAGAATCTAAGGATAACACTGCAGCTGGGTCATTAAACTTAACAGCTACACAATGAGGTCTATCAAACTAAAGAGCAAGAAAATTGCAACAAAAAAGAGGACTACGACATTACCCTACAAAGAGATGGAACAATCACATTGTTTATATTCAGCATCTAATAATTCTGCAACGAGGTGACGGGAGAGACAGGGCGTATACAGGAAACAAGAAAAAGAGTTAAAAGTATTTCACACCCTTCAAAAGAACTAGTCACGGAAATATGAGTAGGAAGTAGGGTAGAAAGAGCCAGGAAAGAGAAAGAAGACAAACACACATTCGCTCTTTCTCCCGATGCAATAAGCTGCCATTGAAGATATTTCCTTGACATAAGCCTGCTGATCCATTCACATTCTAGTCAAACAAGAGCTTCACAAAGCAGGACATATACTACAGCCAAACCACCAAAAACCCTAGACATTTGGTTCTACTGAAGATAAACCTTCTAATCAGGAACTAATAGGTACGTTATTGCTTACCAAGTGAAGAACATCAATGCTTACGAGGCGTGCATCATTACCCTCAATTGTCACCAAGAGTACATTCCCAGCAACATCTGCAGTAGTTTTGTTGTTCACTATTTCTTGCCTGTTCGAATACTGTAGGTAGACGGTTTTCCCTCGTACCTGAGCTGGTTCGGAAGATGAAGCATAGTATGATATCATTGCAATTGCTTGATTCAATTCTGCCTGCACCATTGATAGAGAGAAAGTAAGAAGATTAAGGTCGAAAGCAAAGCAGAAAGAACTAGGGCAACCAAAAAAAACCAGGAATGGGAAAACTTACAAACTCTATAAAAGCTTGATTACGATTTGATCCAACATTACACTTTGTATTGACGACTTTACCAAATGGCTTCCCTAATTCAATCAGTTCCTCCTCTGTACACTCCCATGGTAAATTTCTTAAGTGGAGAACCTTGGATGGGGGCTGTGTGTAGCGGAATTGAGGCTGACTGGAAACAGATGCCATTCCGCACCACAAAGCCTATCTACAAACAAGAGAAATTCATGGTTTTATCTTACTTGTACTAAAGATCGTTAAAACTCATATATCATGCATGAAAATTGAAACTTAGAATCGTTTGACCAATCAATAAATCAATCACAAATTACATCGCAAGTTATGCATTACAGATTCTCTTACTACAGTGACCCCCACCAAAGCCACCACACTCAGATTAATACGAATATGTCAAAGTCGATGGTATAGTTCAGCGGTAAAAGAAAGGCGAAAAATGAAAATCAGACAGATTAATACGAATATGTCAAAGTCGATGGTATAGTTCAGCGGTAAAAGAAAGGCGAAAAATGAAAATCAGACCACGTCAATAACCTCAAGTAGAGAAACCAAAAAACTAATTCAAAGAAAGAAAGCAATCGACACATAAAACTGAACAATAAGCAGCAAATTACTTTGGTACATAGCAAATATTTAAGAATTGACAGATTATCGACGTCAATCCAAAATCGATCTTGGATAAAGACTTCCACGTTCAACGGCAAACAATATACAAGTCCGTAGACGGGACCGGGAGGCGGTGCTTAGGCGGAAAGGAGAATAAATTGGAATAACTGAAATTAGGGCACCAAAGGGGGAAAAGGAGGAAATTGGAAAAATTCGGCTGAGGGAACTATTACCTGAGAGATTAGAGACGAACGTAAAAGTCGATGGAAGCTGCGAGGATATAGACGGCTGTAAATCGGTAGGTCGGAATTGCCGAATCGGAAGTGGAGGTCGAGATGCGAAACTTGGCGCCGGGTGGGGCTTAGGTATGCACCTGCGGAGGTTAGCGCAATGAGATAGGAATCTCGAAGCTGGGAGTTTCCAAGCACAGGAGGCCCGGCCTTATGGAACGAGAGTCCTAATACCCAATACCTAATTGTTTCTTGGGATAATGAGGTTTCTGACAAATTCATTGACCTCCCCTGAGGTTTCCACAATTACACTGACCTCCCCGGGCAGAACTTGGACCCCAATTACTGGCATCATATGATGCAAAATTACACTATCATGGATAACCCCCCTTAGACACCTCGTCCTACTTGATCTGCTACAGCTTTGCTCGGCCCATTCCCTGTTAAATTCCTCTAATTGGGCTTCAACGAGCCGAACCCAAAATAAGGAAAAAGGGCTCACTTTTTGCCCCGAACTCAACCCATTATTAAATATATTATATGCAAAAAATACTAAGCTTATATATTTATGAAGTATAATTTTTAATTTATTAATTAGATATTACTTTAATTGAAAGAATAATGCTTTAAGATAAGCACACCATTATTTTACACACTCTTATTTATTTTGCAACATGTATGAGTACTAAACATATGAAATATTTAATTCACTATTATTATTTGAGCCTGACATAGTTTTTTTTTGTTGAAATTAACGTGGCCCAAACCCAATCCACCATTATGCAATAACTTCAATATTATATTGAATCTTAAACTCATCAATTGTTTTTTCACCAATATAAATATGGTCGCATGAGGAAATTAACGAGTGTTCTCATTCTCGCCACCAAACCAACGCACTTGAGATCCTCGGTGACACTTGGCACAATATTATTGGTGGCATTGGATTGACATAGAAAACATGTCACCGAGGATCCCAAGTGAAACCCACGGCACATTAGGAAGAGCCAACTTGGAGAAGCATTCAAATCATTAATCATAAGGAAATTGCACGTACAAACGAGCGCGAGGAACAAATTGGGCAGTATGATTGGTTACATATTTCTAAAATATTACTACTTCAGAATCATAATGTTACAAGTCTTGGAGAAAAAACAGGTACAGACAGACGATATTGAAGCACCAAATACTCAGTCAGGTCTGACTAAGGAGAACATCTTTGTAAGGAGTTGCAGGGACAATAGCAGTCTTCCCTTCCTCCGCAGGCCTTTCCCTCCTCCTGGAGGACTCCTCCAAGATGAACGGCACCTGGCCTTCTCTCAAGTCAAGCAGTCGCTCTTGTGCTCCACCTCGCAGTTTCTCCAACTGTAATCCATCACCTTGCTGCATCTTGAACACTTTCACAAGATTTGCTAGGCCCCCAGCGAAGAATAACAGGCTCCCAAATATGCCAATCCATATCCACGTCAAACCCTGCGAACCAATACGTGAAATATAGAGATCAACTTCCCGAATAGAAGCAAAGCTGGAAGATCAGTCAAAGTTTCAAGCATGGGTACTGCTCTTGTCTCTGGCTCAGGATTTTGTGCTCAGCCCCACAAAGAATTTGACTTACCAATGATTTCATACCGTGATGGATATGCCCTGTCTGCTCTCTGCTGTTAAGGATTGCTCCTACCAGAAACAACAAGCTTCCCATCAAGAATGGAATCTGGATGCTCTCTTGCAAGATCTGAACATGCCCACCAGCTCTCTCATAGATCTGACAGGAGTTTTGGATTGAACCAAGTAGCCATAACGCTGAGCCAGCAATCAGCATGTTCAACGCATGCCGCTCTACCTTGCGGTAGCCATAGCCTCTTTCATCCTACGCTTGTGAAAAGGTTTCCACACGAAGGAATTACCAAATTAAGTTATCGACTATAGAAGCAATGTGTAATAAACGTCTTCGACCTTTATTATAACCTTCACACAGCTTCAATATAATTAAAAATGGTTACGAACCTAAAAAGCAGCTTAATTAGCTAACATTTACACATGCCTTTCAAGGCATAAATTGTGCGTATGAAGAAAATCAACGAAATGCAGTCTCGCAACTCTTCAAGAACTGAAAAATTGTGTTGCAACATTTATCAACAGTCACCACGCATTGGATGCAATAGACAGGAGCTAACAGTAAAATGTAGTGTAAGAGATTAGCTTGGAGAAAAAGTTGATAATGCAATTATATGATCGAATTCCAGGAGATCACTGAAATTGGGAATCAATATTGCAGCTATATGTTCCTACCAGCCAAAAAAAAAAAAAAGCAGCTGTAATCAGAAATGATAAAACCTAAATTGGCAAATTTCCTCCACATGTAAGCCCATTATGGGGTTCGAGTTGGAATATAAAACATCTCAATCCCAAAAACTATTAAAGCTGCAAACAGAAATTGATCTAATTGATCCTAACTAGCAACTGGAAAGGCTTTCTCTGCTTAAAGAAAAGCTAATGATCTTCTCCTAGTCGTAGGATAACTTCTTGATTTACCCCGCCCCGTCAGACAATCTGCTCTGCTTACATGTAACCAGACTGTAGCGTCAAATTTGATGCTTTTGACGCTGAAGAAAGGGGCATCTTTTAAATTCGAAGCCCTTGGAGAATAAGATGTCCATGCAATCCTCAAATGATGAGCAATAAAAACAGGAAGTGCAGTGAATTACAGTGCCGTCATTTTTGCTGAAGCCAATCGGTATTTGCTAACCAATTCACCGGCAGGGAGAGTACAATTGGTTCCCTATCCTTTGGATTTACCAAAACAAGCAAACAAATAAATAAAGACGTAGCGAAGTCGGAGAGTTACCTGCAAGAAAAGAAACAAAATTCCTAGGAAAAAGAGAACGGTCCCGAATGTCTGAAGTACAGGTGCAGCAAACTCCACAGCTGCGAACTGGGTATCAAACTTCAATATGTTCAATCTACAATCGATCCCGGAAAGGTGAGCGATAAGATCGTGTACATTCACTAAAGCAATAACCGGGAGGGCTACGAGTAAAAGAACCAGCCCTGATCTGGGCTCTCCGGAAAGCTGAGCGGCAAACCCACTCAAAAGCACGACGGTAGCAAACGCGTATAGCCCAGCGTTGATGTACTCTAGCCTGTTCCGGGAAGATCTTGGCCCGTACATTCGGCTCTCCCGGGCTGATGCAAGCTTCACCATACTCAGTAAACACGCGAGGGATTGTGAACGTGATTCGCGAGGAGGAAAAAAAAAAAAGAGTGCAGCAGATGAATGTAGAATTAGTCAGAGATCGAGTCTTGTGAGCCAGAGGAACTGGAATGCAATATCCGCTTCAAATGGAAGAAAGAATTGAGAAGCTTGGGGGGGTTACGTGTCTTCGTGCATGTAGTACATCAAAGCATCCTCCTCCTCATCCTTCACGGTTTTTTTTTTCTTCCAATATTATAAATCGAAAAAAAAAAAAGAAAAGAAAAAACCTGAATCCGGGATTCCGATTAAATACTACACTAGTACTTGAGACACTTATGTGTTATCTTAAGAATTTTGTGTTTAGATACACCAATTAACTCTACTCCTCTCTTGTCTCAAATTCAGTCGATACTTCTCCAAGCTAGCTTTGATTGACACTATTAGTTCATGGATTTCTTTAACCATGACTTCCTTTAAAAACCGAACGTACAGAGTCATCATCTTCTTAGTAGTTTAGTAAACTTCATGGACAAGCGGTACAAAATTCTTGAATCCTTAACATTTGAACTGAATTTCACATAGCCCTTATTCAGGGAGAGGTAGCAGTAGATTAATTTCATATCTTGGACTCGGTAACCTCACTGAGCAGAAGCTGCATGCAGTTGCTCTTTTGGCTTCTCAACATCTGTCGCTTCACTTTTTCGCCATCCTTTTGCTGCATCCCGTTTCAATCCTTCTTCCATGAATCCATTTTTCCTGTACTTGCAGTAGAGCAAAAGCTGAAAGATGCCTAAAGGGCTGCCAACCAGATTTGGGGACTGCAAATATCATAATTGAATTACTTTCTTAAGTAACAAATTCGGCTGGAAAATCCATAAGGAGAAAAACTATTCGTTGAGCTCCTGATATTGAGACAAACCGCGAGGAAAAGATCATGGCTCAGTAATCCGTAAGTCATCCAAAGGGAACTGGCAAGAAACGAGAAAAGGGACAAGTAGAACGGCATAAATTCAACGCTCTTGGTTTGTATCACTTGTTTCTGTCGCACCACACAACAAATATTAGTGGTCAAATTAAATACTAATGATAATAATAATAACAATAACAATAACAACCCAGCTGATAAAAATGTCCCATGTTTCCAGAACTTCCCTTCAAATGAACCCCCCCCCCCCCAAAGCCTTTTCCAAAACAACAAAAAAAAAAATCGTTAAAACCACTATAAACATGTCGGTTTTGAAGAAGCTGAAAGACCTGAAACTGGATTTTGCATTGGAAAATGACTCACCACAACCACCAGAGGAGAACCATACATTGCCACTGATGCTATCAATCCAATGCTTCCTACGAGTATCTTTCGGTGGGAATGATCGTGAAATGCAAAGACTGATAGTAAAGCAATGACGCAGAATCCAAGGATAACTGATGTTGTTAACACTGCAACCTTCTTCTGCACAGCGCTCATCAAAACAAAGAAAGATCAGAACTTTGTTTGTTTCAAGAAAAGGCAAAATGTTACAGTGCAAAATCATCACAATGGAATTGTGTTGTCGCAGGGTGCTTTCCATTATTCCTGGGCTAGAAGTAGCTTGCCTTGGCATTTGCGGGGGCAAAACAGAAGTATATGAATACGAAGGAGAGCTCCAAAAGAATTCCTAAGCCATTGATCGTGACCACAGGGACGTTTTCCCAGCCATTACTCACAACCGGCAAGCCGTACCATGTATAGAGGAAACAGTTCAATAACGCAATGGTGTATGGAATGCATGAAAACTCTTCAGTACTTCTCTTTCTTATGACTCTCGAAAAAGTCAATCTGCAAGAATAAGTATGAAGATAAAATATAAATCAAATCAGTAGAATGTTATAAATTTCTTGAAGTATTTTGGGAACTTGTAAAAAATTAACGCATGCACGAGCATGTTTGGATCTTTCAAACAAAAAGAATGGTGAAACTTTATGAGATTCAATTTGCCCGTTGAAGCTGTTCTTTCCCAAACCAAAATATTAACTTCAAATAAACATCAGAGCAAAGCACTTTTGAGTTACATAGGAGCAGCATAGAGTAACATGGAGGCGGCATTCCCTGCAATAAGAAACACCGTGCAGCCAATAAATTCCTAGTCACAAAAACCAATTGAAATTCCATGTCATAATTACTAGGAAGACAAAATGGGAAAAAAAAGAAGATAAGTAGGTATACCCATAATTCCCACAGCCAAACGCAACCTATCTCCCATGTTATAATCTTTGTAAACAAAAGGTCGAGGAAGAACAAACACACCAGTGGAAGCTGGGCAAATGGCAAGGTATGTTGGAGTGTTGCGCCTTCACAGTTTTAGTGTCAGGGTCATATATATATATAAGCATGAAAAGAATATATTATCCAAATATATAAATAAAAAAGAAATTAAGTAGAAAAAAATGTGGATGGAAATAATCAGTGTTTTTGCATCGCCCACCGAATTTATACATGGAATTGCCCCATAAGCAATAGTGTTAGCATTTGATAATGAGACGAATTTATTTTGTTGCTAGGAGTAATATTTTGGTTGTGTCAGTGGAAGTGTCACTGGACTTCCACTAATTTTTTAGGTTTTGTTTGGCAGCTATAGCAGAGGAAAAACTACAGACCCAATACTTAATCTTTGTCATGGCACTGGTTAGCATGTTAAACATTAAATTTCAAACAGCTCTTCATCAAGTACAGGATCAAACTCTAGTAAAACTTATACAATTAGATTGGCAAATTCCGCGTGTTGAGGTCTAATATCTGCTTAAATTTTCCCAATATTCAGAACAAGCATCATAATTGAAGATGTAGCTCTGAATTTTCAGAACAGGTATCATCCTCTAATGTTTAATTTATGTTCCTACATATTGTATGGAGAGATCCTCAGATGCTTGGCGGCCAGGAGGAAACAGTTGTCGTGGTTCCTCAGATGCTTGCGGAATCCATTTGATTCTGCAAGTGATCAAAGAAGAAATTCTACAGTAGCGGATCAAACTTCTGGTGGGTTCTATTCCATGGCGAATTGGATTTAACTTTTGGAGCAGAAAATCAATCAGAATGAAACCAGATCTAGTAGTAGTGCACTAGTATTAATGGGCTATTCTTCATTTACAGGAAAGAAGCAGTTGCTAATCAAATTCTTTTATGTAATGTACGAACTGCGAAGATGGGACACCTTTTAAGGATGTCTTTTTCATCACTTCGGGACTCTGATGCTATGCAGCATTTCTTCTGATGCCTGTGAGGACTAAACAAAGGGGAAAAAAAAGGAGATGATGAGATATGGTTCCCTTTAGTTCTTCTACCAATAATAAAGAACATTCTCTATCTCTTCAAGCCAAGCATCAGCAGCAATCAGCTGTTCTGATGCTTGATGCCAACATTATATTTAATTCTGGTGCTTGAATGTTATTCCAAGAAATAGACATATTAACTTTTCTAGTAATGATATTGTCAATATCCCCTTCGGGGCTCAATGCCATTGTCAAATCTACCATAGTGATTCCGGGTCCAATATCGTTAAATTACAGCGTGCTTTTCTGCAATTTTGTGATTCTTGACTGGCTGAACCATGCCCGCCTTAAAGTTGTATAGGTGTCATGCAGCAGTTAGCTGAGTCAACCACACTCCAATTGATATAAAAATGTATTTTCCAGCGTGGTCTTACTTTCTCGATGCGCAGGACAAGAAATCGAAGTCCATTTGTGATTCTTGACTGGCTGAACGCCTGAACCATGCCCGCTTTAAAGTTGAGTCAACCATTTAGCTTGGTGGAATGGGAAACCTTGGCTCCCACCAAAATGTCACATTTAAATGATTTATTTCAAAAAAATTCAGGCGAGTATGTTGTGCACCCGTTTGGTCCGGTGGTGGTTTAGTCCCCTCCGAGTTATCCCTGGATCTCCTTAGGTCCGCCCCCTTCCCCTTAGTGTAGAATAGACTAGATTATACAACTGTTGTCGTCTCCGAAAAAAAAAAAAAAAAAGAGTCAACCACATTCCAGAAGGTTCATAAGCCGCTGAATATTTATTCCAAAAGGGTTTATTCAACCTAATCGTACCACGTAATCTTTTAAAAAACGTTCTTAGCGAGTTATTTCAGTTCCATGCTTTCGTTCCTTTGAATCAAAATGAAACAGAGCACTAAGTTCAACAATTATTTGTTATAAACAAGTAGTTAGTTTATCGGAATCAAAGGAAATAAGAATGGAATTTTCTTTGGTGACATAAGTTCAAATTGTAGAACGAATCAAAAGTTGTGGATAATTCTTTTTTACTTATATTTCTTATTTCTGATTCTTAATTCAATTTTTTATTAAGAAGTCTCTATTTTAAAAAAAAAGATCGAGTTCTTCAAATTAGGCAAACAAAACGAATTTCTTATTTTTATCGTACGTATCAAATAAAATATAAAAAATAAAGAATTTTTTTTTTTGTCTATTTCCATTTCCCCAAAATCCCTTATTACACGGCCAGTGCCCGCCTTGAAGCGTTTAAGGTTAGCAAAATTTGACGGAATGTTTGTCGGTCGGGTGTCATGTGTGAAAATATACATAAAATATGTATATTACTAAAATGGAGAGAAATTGGATTATCAGTATTTAAATTTGAACAAATGAGCTTTGTCATTTTTTTGAGGCATTAATATATTAATATTTAGTTAAACTATGAGTAATTAATGCTAACTAAAATTACCACCAAGTATACCATGCAAATTTGATAAGAAAAATATATATGTCTTTATTACATTTCATTAAGATGCTTTTTTTCCCTTTTTAATGATAGCTTTCAAATATACATTTTTTTGTCATTGTTACTGGATTTATAATTGTCTACATTTTTCATTTAACAAATTTAAGTCAGTGTCCAAATTAATAATATACTTATATACTCTTTTGTTTTAAAATTATATGTATAATTTGTTTAGCAAATATACGTAAAGAAATTGAAAAACAGTAGAATTAATAATGGTTAGCATTTTTGCATAAGTTTTTTGTGTTTGATAAAAGGACATCTATATATGACTTGGATCTATAGCTTATCAGTAAATTTGCTTTTCAAGGCAAAAGAGAATAAATTGAAGTACATTAATATAAAGGATAGACAAATACAAGATAACAGAATTAAAACATACGTAGGTAGCAAGTCAAAGCAGCTAAGTCGAAGTACATTAACACAAATGATAAATAGATACAAGATAATTAAATTAAAAAACAATTAGTTCAATTATTAAGCACATAAGCATTATATTGTTGGAAACTAATTTTATGCATAATCATTGTGAAGGTTTATTTAAGTCTTCTGGCCAGCTGGGACTTGTTCAGCTTCATAGCTTGTGATAATGGTAAAAGATGTTCCTTTGATTACTTTTTCTCTTGGAGTTGTTTTCTTAACAAATCACAGGAGTCACTTTCTTTGGAATATATTAAGTGGCAATGTTAATTCAACTGTATAACTTTAAATGACAATAAAAACATGAATAAACATAAAGTCAAATGTTACTAAATATTTGAACATGAACAAATCAAAATAAATTTGACACAGAAAAATGTACATTGCATTAAGCAAAAATAATAATCTTGTTCTTTATAACAGGATAGAATAAAGGTTGAAAACTCGAATAGAAATAATTAAATCTTAAGTTAATTTGTCAAATATAAGTTGAAATGTTAATGTAAATAGTAATAAATATAAATTCTAATTGAATTATATGTGTTCAAAATAGAGAGATTGAAAAGTCTACTCAAAATAATTCAACCTTGTAAAGAAATGGTAAATGCAATATAATTTGGATCATTGAGCACATTTAAAGCAATGCAAATCCATAGAGAAAGCAAAAGAGAAAACTCAAAATTCAGACAATAAAAATATGAATAAACATAAAGTCAAATGTTACTAAATATTTGAACATGAACAAATCAAAATAAAATTGGCACAGAGAAATGTACACTGCATCGAGCAAAAATAATAATCTTGTTCTTTATTATAGGATAGAATAAATTGTAAATAATCTTTTACTTTGCATTAACTTTAAATGATAACTTATTTTGACAAATATAAATTTAAATGATAATGTTGAAAACTCGAATAGATATAATTAAATTTTAAGTTAATTTGTCAAATATAAGTTGAAATATTAATGTAAATAGAAATAAATATAAATTCTAATTGAATTATATCGGTTCAAAATATAGAGGTTAAAAAGTCTATTAAAAATAATTCAACCTTATAAAGAAATGGGAAATGCAATCTAATTTGGGTCATTGACTATATTTAAAGCAATGCCAAGTCCATAAAGAAAGCAAAAGAGAAAGCTCAAAATTCGCGCAAAGTGCCATGTGTCAGCAAAATGAATTGCTACAGTAACTATGGCCTTTTGTTTATCTTATAGTACTAGAGGTACCTCGGCAACGCACAGCCAGGGCCCTCTAGAACATTAGTTAAATGCATAATAACAAATGTTTTAGTACATAATGAATAGAAATATAGGAAAAATATTAAGTATAAAAACAATTAAAATTTGCTGTGAAAAGAAATTTCATATATAAAGTTAACCCCAATTTATTGTGATTTGGAAAAAGAATTTTTAACCAATATTATGTGTACGTAATGATACCAAAAAAGAAAAGAAAGCAAATCCATTATGAGTGCATTATCGGTTTAATAGCAGCATAGTTTTAGTTGTAATTAAATAAAGAGTAGTCATAATGTTTCTAACATTTTAATAATTAGAAAAAATATAGAAAGCCACAAAAACCTGTCACTATCTTCAACATCAATAAAAAAAAATACAAACTTGCATATTTTTCTTTCTTTTTTGAAAGAAAGAGCGAGTTAATCTATCCATTTAAATCATGTCTAATAGCATTACAAATAGATGAAAACATTATCTAACCAAATAGTTATAGAATACATATAGCAAGTTAAAATAAAAACATGAATTGCCATATTTATAAATCTACATATGCAAATTCAAATCCAACAATTTGTTTGATTGCAAATATGTCTTCTTAATCAAAATAGAATTTTCTAATAATATTTTGTAGAGTGACACTCTAAGCTAAAAGCCTCAATACTAACTTCTCACCAAATGCATTCCTTTGAAAACTGCAATTGTTTTAGCTAGTCAAATCGACAAAATATTATTAACTTCTTTAGCCAAATAGTAATGATATGTCCAGTTCTACGCCTAACAATCATCTCAAACTCTAATTACATTATCTATCAT